AAATAGCATGAAATGTAAGTTCTTACAAATGTTTCTCTGTCTTTCTTAAACAAAAAAAAAATACAATTCATATAGAAAATAGCATGAAATGTAAGTATTTACAATGCGAATTTTACATTTCTTACACCGAAGATGAAAAATGTTCACGCGAATCTCGTGGTCAATGGTGATTTTATTACCGTAACACTACTAAATCATTTTTTTACAAAATCAAAACAAGTATTTATGAAATTTGTAATATGAGATTTTTTTTTCATTAAGTTTCAACTCTTCTTCTCTTCCGTATCATTGACCAAAAAAAAAAAATTTGACTGCCAAGCCAAACAAAGAAGATCAGATAACTCTGTATGGGAGCCACCACAGTCACACATTCTACACGTGGCAGCTTCCTGAGCTACCGAGCTCGAATGGTGTAATTTAAATAAATATATAAATTAGTTAAAATCTCAAAGAAAATGGAAATGGAAAAAAGGAGTAAAGAATTGATCCACGATCAAAGTGAAGAGGTTAGGTTCCTTTCTCTCTCTTTCTCCTTTCTCTCGACGATTGATCTCGAATCTTCTTCGAGGTACCCATTTTTTGTGAACCTGAGTCTTTTCTTAAATCGAATTTGTTCTGTGATGATGGGTTTGATGGTTATGCTTGTCGCATGTTTCCTTTGAAATATATATTTTTTTTTTGATCCGGTTGAATTTTGAAGACGAAATCGATTTGGGTTTAGGCGAGAGAGAAATGGAGGATTCTCGATTCGTTCGGCTTTGTATATGTGAATCCATCTTCTCTACTGTGTTCTCTCTGTTTTTCTTTTATTGGGGGTTTTTGAAACCTAGAGAAAGTTTTGATTTTGATCTCATTTCTGGGGAAATTAGCTTGACCCGTTGCAATTTATGTCTTTCTAATGTTTTGTCTGCTTAGCAATAGAATCTGTTTATGTTTTTGATTCTGTTTTTTTTGTTGTTGAGATGTGAGAACAAGGGCTTGTTTGTAATTATTGAGGATAGTAGAAGATGAAATCTCTAATGTTCGATATGTTCTCATGTACACTCTCTAAGTTCATATTCTAATACTGCTTCTACCTGACAGGAAAAAAGATCTGTTTTACAATATTCTAAGAGATGTCAAGTGGAACAGTGAGAAGGGTCTCACGTCAAGATATACAACTGGTAATGAAAACAAACCAAGTTATTATTTTATTTTACTTCCCTTGATATATTGAGATTGTTGTATTTTCATATAGAACGTCATATAGATTGCATATCCAGAAGGTTTATGTTACAAGTTTTCCCCCCTCTTTTGCATGGTTCAAATTTTTCTGATTTCCCATAGGAAAAATAGAACCTTTGTGTAATTGTAGAATTGAGGCTATGCTTGATAGTCATAGAGAGCTTTTAATTAGAAACACTTTACACTCCCACTGCTATCAAAAGCACCATACTTCATGATGATGATGGCCTTCAGCTTCGTTTCGTGAATCTGTGAAAAATGAAATTGGATGTTTATTTCTCTATTTCTCTTCCGACTGTTTTGTCCAACTTTTTAAGCAATAAACTTACTTTTTGCCTGTTATTATCCGATTTCAGGTTCAAAACCTTATAGAACGATGCCTTCAGCTTTACATGAATCAGAAAGAAGTCGTGGAAACTTTACTGGAGCAGGCTAAAATCGAGCCTGGCTTCACAGAACTAGGTAGTCATAGCAGCTACCTGCCTTTTCTAATTAATTTGCATCTGATTGTTTAATTCTTGTTCGTAAATGGTTCTACTTTCCGGATCCATTTCTTTGATTAAATGGTGTAAATGGTTCTGTTTTGCATCAACGAGGACTAATAAGAAACATTAAAAAGGGCTGACAACATTAGTGCTTGACCATAGATCATGCATAGGAGAGACAATCTTATGTAATGAGTAATGATAATAAAGATCGGGATCATATCCCCAACTCTAGGGTTAATAAAAAACTTATGTTTGATTCCTTTTTGGTTTACAGTTTGGCAGAAGCTTGAAGAAGAGAATCGGGAATTTTTCAAGGCTTACTATCTTAGGCTCGTGGTGAAACACCAGATCATGGAATTCAACAAGCTGCTTGAGCAGCAGGTTCACCACATGAGTCAAATGCATCAAACTGGGGTTGCTTCCGTCCGCAATTCGAATGGTTCTCATATTCAATCAAGTAAGATTAGAATTTGTTCATTTAAGGCTTTCTTTTGCTTGTCTCATGAAATTTTTATTTTGTCTGAAATTTTGCTTTCCCTATCTGTCAAGTGTTGTAGTAAACAGTTCTTATATGTTTCGTCTCGTTTTCTGTCTTTCCACTTTCTGCTGTAGTTTTATTTCATCGTTCTCTTTTTCAGCTGGATTATGTGATTTCTTTGTAGAAATATATTTTCAAACTCTGCATGATTATTTGATTTTTGGATGAAATCTGAACTCACTAGTATGTAATTGCTGTTTCTTTGAATAAATCAAGATTTGTCCGCCGCAGTAGTGATGGTCTTGAAAATGCTAGTTATCCTTTTAAGTCACAGCTACCGACTTGTGAAAAGTGTTTTTGTTGTCTACTGGTTGGAAATTGGAAGGTAGTTATGAGTTTTTCTAGATAGCTTATCTATGTAACTGACATTGGTTCTTTTACAGTGAATCAGAAACAGTTATGCTATGCCTCTGAACACACTGAGCAGTCGTTGAAGTCTGAAAGTGCACATCATCCTATGGCTTCTGGTCTGTCTAATGCATACCTCAATGGCTCTTCAACACTCAATGCAAATGTGGCCTCTTCTGTGAACATATCAACCCATGCTAGGAGAGTTGATACTTCGCCAAATATGCTCTCATCACAGACCACAAACATGCCTATGATGCAAGGAGTGAATGGAGGGATGATCAAGTCTGAGACTGCCTATGCAAACCCTGCTTCATACATGTATGGTGGTGAGCGGAATGCCCTCGAAGGACATTCCGCAGTTGGAGACACTTCGATTCCATCTTTCAGCAACGAGTCCAACAACCAACCCCTCAGTGATCCGCTTCTTGATGCTGAAACTTCTACTTTTGGGTTCTTAGGTCAAATTCCTCGGAACTTCAGTCTGTCGGATTTGACAGCTGACTTTTCCCAGAGCTCAGGTCTTTCTCTATCTTACATATTCCTTTCTGTCTCATTGTTCTTACTTATTAGCTCGTATATAGAACCAAGCTCTCTCTCGTTGTTCTTACTTCTGAGCAAGCATATAGAACCAAGTTAATGTTGTTTGCAAGTACTGCTAATATGATTCATCATTTGTAACCATAATCTTCCTGTTGATTTCAGAGATTCTGGAGAGCTACGATAGATCACCCTTCCTTGTGCCGGATGCTGAAAATTTCCTGGACTCCCGCGATAGGGGAGAATATCAAGGTGAGAACTTTAGAACTTTGCTAAAAAAGAATGAAGAAGAAAGTTGTATGTCTATGAATTTAATGCGAGTAATCAGGTTTCATATCCTCCATGACACATGGATAAAGAGCAAGACACTACTTACTAGTTGGATTACAAAAAAAGTGATCATAGGAACTGTGTTTTTTTTTTGCAGGAGACAACAAGAGATTGGAGACCATATCTGAAGGCTTCAGTTACGATAACCTCGGGAGCGAATAGCTAGACAGGTAAGAACAATGCTCCTTCCATTAGCCTCCAATCCCAGGTCTGTGTACAGATCTAACACTCATAATCATCATCTTTGGTTTCTGAAAACTATGCAGGTTTTGCTTCTTCAATCATAACGTAGGACACGTATGTGTGTACAAAAGATTCAGCTTTTGGTATTTTACTTGCAAAGACTATTCGGTGGGGTGTATAAAAAGGGAATTTTCATTAACATTATTACTTTAGCTTGAAATTGGTAAAATAAGATTAAGAGGTTGATATGTAATTTTCAGTGTGTGATTTTTTTGTCTCTTTTAACTTGTGTTGTAGTTTTTACTTGTTACAATTGTTTATTTCACCATAATGTTTTGTTTTTTGTTTATTTTATATGTCTACATATGGAATTTTATCTATAGAATATAAACAAAACCTAGAGTCGCAATCAAAACCAGATCAAAAACTAGTTTTAGAAATGAATCATTGAATGTTAATGCGTTACGTTAGTGGTAATGAGGTAGTGACTAATGACCAATACGCAAATACAAACCGAAGAAAGCTTTTAAAGATAATAATAATGGATTTTAGCCCATAATGAGCGGACCCCACCAAAATATTCAGACCACAAACACAGAGAGTCTCAATTCTCTCTCTCTCTAGAGAAGAAGATAATAGTCTCCATCTCCATGAAGCTACTGCTTCTGGGTAAGTTTTGTGGTCTCTCTTTATTCATGTAGGACTCTCAATCACTCTGGTCAGAAATCGTCTCCGATTAACCATTGGTGGTGACTCTGAATTATCTCAAAGTTCGGTTTTTTTTTGTTCTCTCTCTCTCTCTGTTATTGTATTTTCTTCGATTTGGGGGAATTCGATGGATACTCTGTTGAAAACACCAAACAAGCTCGAGTTTTTCGTCCCTCAGTTTCATGGGTTTGAGAGATTAAGTAGTAATAATCCAAACCCTTCAAGGGTTAAGCTTGGTGTGAAGAAAAGGGCAATCAAAATTGGCTCTGGTGTTACTAGTTGTAGTAGTGCTCTTTTGGATCTTGTTCCTGAAACTAAGAAGGAGAATCTTGACTTTGAGCTTCCTTTATACGACACTTCCATGAGTCGAGTTGTTGATTTGGCTATTGTTGGTGGTGGTCCTGCTGGTTTAGCCGTAGCTCAGCAGGTTTCTGAAGCTGGTCTCTCTGTTTGTTCAATTGATCCTTCTCCAAAGCTTATATGGCCTAACAACTATGGAGTTTGGGTTGATGAGTTTGAGGCTATGGACTTACTAGACTGCCTCGACACTACCTGGTCCGGTGCTGTTGTCTATATCGATGAAGGTGTCAAGAAGGATTTAAGCCGACCTTACGGGAGAGTTAACCGGAAACAGCTCAAATCCAAAATGCTTCAGAAATGTATAGCTAATGGTGTTAAGTTTCATCAGTCTAAGGTCACTAATGTGGTTCATGAGGAGTCGAACTCTACTGTGGTTTGCAGTGACGGTGTAAAGATTCAAGCTTCAGTGGTTCTTGATGCGACCGGGTTTTCGCGATGTTTGGTTCAGTATGACAAACCGTATAACCCCGGGTATCAAGTGGCTTATGGGATCGTGGCTGAAGTTGATGGTCACCCGTTTGATGTAGACAAAATGGTGTTCATGGATTGGAGAGATAGACATCTGGACTCGTATCCCGAGCTTAAAGAGCGGAACAGCAAGATCCCGACGTTCTTGTATGCGATGCCGTTTTCTTCCAACCGAATATTTCTTGAAGAAACGTCTCTTGTTGCTAGACCTGGTTTGCGTATGGAAGACATCCAGGAAAGAATGGTTGCTAGGCTGAAACATTTGGGGATCAATGTGAAGCGGATTGAGGAAGACGAGCGTTGTGTGATCCCGATGGGCGGTCCTTTACCAGTCTTACCTCAACGGGTTGTCGGGATTGGTGGTACTGCAGGAATGGTTCATCCTTCAACCGGTTACATGGTAGCTAGGACTCTTGCAGCCGCGCCAATAGTTGCCAACGCCATTGTTAGATATCTCGGTTCATCTAGTAATAACAGCCTGAGAGGGGATCAACTCTCTGCTGAGGTATGGAGAGACTTGTGGCCTATTGAACGGCGTAGACAGAGGGAATTCTTCTGTTTCGGAATGGATATTCTACTGAAGCTCGATTTAGATGCTACTAGAAGGTTCTTTGATGCATTCTTTGACCTGCAACCGCATTACTGGCACGGATTCTTGTCGTCAAGGCTGTTTCTCCCTGACTTGTTGTTCTTCGGGTTGTCGCTCTTCTCGCATGCTTCCAATACCTCAAGATTGGAGATCATGACAAAGGGAACTGTACCTCTTGCTAAGATGATCAACAATTTGGTACAAGATAGAGACTAAGGACCATAACTGAGACATATGTATGTACATCTGGTCCAAACACATTTAGTGACGGACATGGCACAAGTTATTCTGTATATCTTTGTCTTATATTGGAGGAACATGTTATGCTTTTTGGAGTGGTGAAATCATATTAGGGTAGAATTTATTGGTCAAACTCCTTGGTGTGAAGCAATTAGTGTATTCCAAGACACAATGCGTTTTCTCAACCGTATTGTTATGTTTTGTTCCAGAAAACGAGACTTGACGGCTCATCTTCTGATCAGCAACAACTGGAAACCAATGTTAAACAGTTGCTTGAAGAAAAGGAAGAGCTAGCAATGTTGCGAAATCATTGAAAAGTTTGCCACTTTTGGTGTTTGAACAGGGAGAGTGTAGTGGCAGAGAAGGTGAAGGAAGCTCACCGGAGAGTGATGGTGGCTAACCATATCCAGACGCAGGCAGGAAGGCAGGAAGCCATTACCTTGGGACTAATATCAACGAAGCGAAAGACATAGCTTGGCAAAACCAAGAGCTCCGGTTCTGCGTTTTGAAACCCTTTTTTTGAGATTGATTGATCCCATCAACATAGCCTTATGTTGTTTCGAGTTATTGGTCTAGATCACTCTTTAAGCAGTATCCATGAGGTTGATGGATCGATCGATCCAATAAACATAGCCATGTGGGTGAGATTTTGTTCGAATTGTTAAGTCTTCAACTTTAGAAATATACAAAGTAGAAACCAGTTGGAAGTGAATCTAGTTGGACTTTGTTTTTTTTTTTCTTGGATTCCTGTTTTTGGACGCAATGTATTTTCACTTGAAAAAACTTTTAGCAAAATGGAAGGGTGTTTATTCAAGAGGTGTCTCTGCAGATCCGAGTCTTTCAAAAGAAAAGAGAAGATGAGCAAAATCCAGACATGGTTCTTGCTGAGAATGGACTTGGAATGTGGGATAAGTAGATTGATTACACATCATCTATGTATTTTAATGAAACAAGAAACAAGAAACAAGATTGAATTTCAAATTAATAAGTAGCCGCTTCAGTAAAAAGGTTATTCCACTCGCACTCTTTCTAGTGCCAAATGTGATCTCTTGAGCCAAAATATTATAAAACTAGATTACTCTCCGCGTTATACGCGAATTAATACTTTCAAAAACCAAATAAATTTAAAAATACGGATAGCAGTATAAAAATATGTTTAACAATTTATAGTTAAAATTTGTTAATAGTGTTCAATTTTAGATTTCGTTTTGATTTTGTAGATTTTTTTGTGAATAATAGATACAAAAATGAAAATAAATATTAAAACGATCTACTATGTTTCGATTCTTATTCAAATTAATGAAATATACAATTTACTTTTATATAAATTTAGGTTTATATAAATTAATGAAATATACAATTTTTAAAATTAATTTTTTGATTACGTTTTTTGGACTTTTTTTAGTATTAAATAAATTACACTAATGTTGAAA